AAATTAAATTAAATACCCTACTAAAAAGCAGTTTTCCCAACAATTCAGGGTTCTCCCCAGGGCATTATAGAGTAGAGTTTTCAAACTTAGATTTTTTAAACACAATAGAACCAATTTAGAATAACAATGAATACAATACAAGTCATTAACATATTATATTGTATTGTATTGTTATGCAAATTAGCTGATAATGTATGCAATTTGACTTTAGAACACTAATATCAAAATATAAAACATCCAATGGTAAACAAAAAATTACTATGATCCTTCTGCACTGTAAGCTACTACATTCAATAACCTTAATTTAGGTCAACTGCATAAATTATGTACAGTCACCAGCTGTGGACAATCCCCCTAACACACCCCTTAAGGTCAACCAATTGGAATGCTGCATCGGTTACCAAGCATCAGCAAATAAGGTGATGTGGCAGACCTTGGGGCATTCAACAACAGAATTAATGTCACGGGATTTGTGCACATAAAAGAAAAGCACTATTCTAAAGCCAAAATTAGGGGTATAAAATCAAAAGCACCATTTGAAATTAATAAATTTTGGAATAACATACTTTACCAGTTGACAGTCACTTCTAGTTAAAAGAAAATTTAACAGAAAATGTACTTGCTAGAATAAATTCACAATTGAAAACAAAATGTCATAAACATGAATAATGGTGTTCCATGAATGCTTTGAGTAAAATGCTGGAGAATTAATTCTCTGTTAAGCACAATATTCGATGTTTTTTCTATTAAGCAAGTGTGTATGGAATTTCAATTGAACTGTAACAAAAGAATTACAAGGGTACATTGGAATTCAATAATAGGCATTGGGAAAACTTCCAAGTAATAAATTACTGGTGAAAGCAAAAACAGCTCTTTATACAAGCAAAGATTTGGTCACATTTATCAATTGTTACTAAAGCTTACTCCCACACAAACAGTAACTAAATCAACATGATTAGCCCTTTTAATTTTAACCGATTTGACTTACAATAATGGGGATGAATAAACCCACGAGTGAAGGACAAGAAATTGTCGCACAGAACAGTTGTAATTTATATGTGACAGTTACATCATTTATCTGCTGTGCTGCAGAGCGTGGTTTCAATTTCACATTTTCCATAAAAGGTCAAATCCAAAGATTCGAATTATGAAAACATGATTTTAACTGCAGTCTCAGTAATTAAACACCCTAAAAACCTAAGAGCGATATAAACTATAATTGACATAACTTACAGAAACTATTGTGAATTGAATGTGCCTGTCGTTTGCAAAGATTTTTACCCTTTTATACCCTATAATGGTATACGTGACGCGACGTTACACCAGCTGAAATAAAAGCAGGAATCCACGTACGACATGATAAAGTCGTCAATATCGCGAGTGTTCTGCTAAAATTTGCCAAATAAAATGCATTACTTTTTTATATTTTGACTCAAGAAGCAGACTACGTGACAGTTGTGAATGTTCTTTGACCTTTAAAGCTTCGTCTTTTCTGATTCGTGTCTGGGTCGACCACGATCATCGACCTCACGCAATTTAAAAACCTCCGTAATTCATAAATATACGAATATAACGTCCAACCGTAAGTGCAAGTTAAAAGTATGTATTACATGCGATGCATACGCATTATTCAGTCCAGCTTTGTCCATTTAAAGGTAACTTACCGACAATAAAACAAGAGAGTGACTTCAGAACGTTCGCACAGCGGAGCCCAAGACTGCAGAGGACAAATAATTGTGGGTGACGTCACATGTGAGCCTCGATGTCACCCTCTACCACAGTCCTTTGCGCGAAACACGCAATGTGTATTCGGCTGAAATACAATAAAGTGTGC